CGAAAGAGGAAGAGTCAACCTTACTAGGGAAAAAGATTTTGAGGGAAAGGTATGTTAGCAATGATATTTAGGGCTGGAAGTTTATTCAGTAAGTGTGCCGGGGCAGGGCTCAAGACCACTAGCATCACACAGGGCAGTACCATTAACTGCAGGTTGAGACCTTGCTAATGACATGTAGCTGGCAGAAATAGGTATTAAGTGCCAGCCAGCCAGAGACTACGATGGGGATCACAATCAAGAGTTATACAGGGGAAACTGAGGCCTGCAGACTGAAAACTACTGCCAGGTCTACTTGGGGGTGAAGGCAGGTTTTACTTACAGCCTCCTATGAGCAGTACTGTTGACCCTGACTTCTCACACGGATTGCCATGTCCCTGGCCAGGGCTGAGCTTCCAGGCCTGTGCATGTAGACAGACTGTGGTGATGGGACACTGACTTGCTCCATAGCAAAGGCTGTAACTTCCTGTACTTGTAGTTTATTTTTAGTCAGGTTACATGACAGACAGAGCGAAAGGTTCTGACAGGAAGGGATGCTTTTTCTCCCCTCTTGTTTGAAGCAGCTGCTCACAATGCGTATAATTTTAAATGTAATAACCTGAGTTTCAAGATATGCAAAATTTCAAAATATTCTCCCCAGCAAAAAAAAAAAAAAAAAAGCTTGCTCCTGCCATCACTGAAAACAATAGTAACCAGAGTCTCATCTGGTGACTGATACATGAAATGCCTACAGAGCAAGTGCAGGCTGTGGGAAGCAGCCCAGAGCATCATTCCCATGCCTTCAGCTGCCCAATAAAGACACCTCCATAGACGACATGCCCAAGGGCCCCTTGCAGTGCCCCAGAACTGTCTGTTCATAGGTGGAGAGCTGGGTGGAGCAGTAGAGGTAAGCTCTGCGACTACAATGACAGACCAACTCTAGACAGTGTGTCTCAGGGTTGGGTAGGCTCAGTGGCAGTGCATGCTTAACAGGGAGAGGTTATTCCGCTCATCTTCATGTATCCTGGCCATACTTCCTGGCTATCTCATGCAAACCCAGCAGCCCACGAATACAGAAAACAAGCAGGTACCTACACATTCCAACTCAGGTCACTGGTAGGCAGGCAACCCTGCAGGGCCTCACTGCTGTCACAAAAGCCATGCCAACAAGATGCACTTCTCCCATAGTCAGCTCCCAATTCCCTCCTCTGTTCTGAGGCCCATAGCCTAAGAGAAGGTGCACTACAGATGGGAAGGTGAACCCCTCTAAACCCAAGCATGCATCCAGTATTCATGCCTTCTGACAAGCTGCCATTCTCCCAGGATCCTGCCAACTTCTAGACCTCCAAATACCTGGACCCTCTGACTCAGGCTTCCTGAGCATCCACTGTGGAAATCTTGTGGTTACCAAGCAACAGATCAGTTTATCTAACTGCAGGGAACTCCCTCACAGTGAAGGCTGAAGACCCTGTTCTCCAGGCTGGATTACTCAGCAGGACAAGCAGATGCCACTTCTGCTGCCAGTAATGCAGTCAACCTAACTAGTAATCACCCCACTGCACTGAGACCTTGAAGGGGGACTGCAGAGCACTCTCTCCCCATCACCTGCAAACTCAACAGGCAGTTTCCTAGGTAAAAAGCAACTTAACCTGGGCTTTGCTCACAGCACTCTTCTGCAGGACAGGATTTATTATTTCCATTTATCCATCCATTCTTTTATTTATTTTTTGAGACACAAGATTTCTCTGTGTAACCCTGACTGTCCCAAAACTCACTCAATAGATTAGCATGGCCTCAAACTCAGAGATCTACCTACTTCTGCTTCCTCAGTGCTGGGATTAAAGACATGCGCTCTGACTCAGGACAGGAAAAGATGTGCTTTAAATCTACCACTATTTTATTATTATTATTATCATCATTATTATTATTTTTAAATACCTTTAGGGCCGTGAACAGCAAAGTCTTTAAGATTTTAAAACCATCCAATATACCTTCTCCTTGATGGCCAATGCCTGAACTCCACCTTGGTTTTAATGCTGCCTTAAGGTACGAATACAATTATTTCTTCCCAAGAGTCACCCATAACATTCATGAGTAAATCCAAGCTAATCTTGGACTGAGTTTTTTTTTTTTCTTTTTTTTTTTTTTTGTAACTTCTGGCTTTTACTTTCTAGTTTTTAAAATGGGCATGTATTTTTTTTAATAATGAGGGGAAAAAAATCAGTATATTTTCTTTACAGTTAACAAACCGTGTAATTTGTCCTATGCTCAAATCTCAAAGTATTTGGTTTTCTATTTATGAAAACTTCACTGCCTTCTGGTCTTAATTGGTTTCTCAAGCCTTGTTCTATTGCACTGTAATTAAAGATAGCTCAAAGGACCAATTCTTCCTTTCCAACTGCTTTGTAATCTGGAAGATTCTGAGTGTAAGTACAATCTAGAAGGCAGTGATGACCTTAGGCTGACTGCAAGTTTCTCCAGCTGTGCCTGGCTAAATAGAAGAGGAAATGGCAGTGTATCATCAAGGGTTCTGTTGACTTTCAGATGACAGAAAGAGAAGGGAGCACCTTCCCCCCAGGACAGCATAAAGCTCAGGTGAAGCAGCAGCCAGTGTGGGAGGATCACCTTGTCTCTTAAAGGGGAGCATGCCGTCTAACATCTGACCTGATGGGAAGGAAGGTGACATATCTGGGTCCAGCTTTGGGCTGTTCGGGCAGAGATGTTGACTGGCAGGCTAGCCACCCAAGGTTGCATCTTTGATTCTCAGGATCCACCTAAGTTGAGTTTCTGTCTTAGTGAGCCCTGCTGCAGCAGCAGGCATGAGAGCAGAAGTCAGTCCTAAGCACGAAGTGCTGGTTAGTATTCTGTCAACTTGAAGGCTATAGTCACCTGCCTTGATGCAGAAAGGCCCAGCCCACTATGGGTGGTGCCACCCTAGGTAGGTGGCCCTGGGCAGTATGAAAAAGCAGGCTGAGCAAACTATGAGAAGAGAGTCAGTAAGCAGCATCTCTCCATGGTTTCTGCTTCACTTCCTGATTAGATTTTTGCCTTGAGTTCCTGCTCTGACATTCCTTAGGAATGGACTACAAGTTGTAAGCTGAAACAAACCCTTTCCGTCCCAAGTTGCTTTTGGTTACAGATTTATCACAGCAAAAGAAATCTAAGACACATGAACATTTGGCATTCATCAAAGAGTAAGACTACTGAGAAATGGAACAGAACTTGTGAGTTCTTAGCTAGGGGCAGGCACAATGTTAAGAGTGTCACCTGGGGGAACTGGTAAATGTCTGCTGATGACAGATTTATGCACCATGTGGGAGAGTAGAGAAGTCCTACCTGGTGACTCAGGGGAAGAGCTAGGCCAGAGTCCTTTAGCAGTAGGAACACTGAGCTTACTTAGCCCAGGTGGCCATGCTGAGGAGTGGGTAGAGTAGAAACTGCTGGCAGTGGTTGGAACCCAGCTCTGGCAGTCACCTAGCTGATGACCTGAAGTCGGAGCCGCAAGTTCAGGAAGGGCCTGAGCATAAAGAACAAGCAGCAGGAGCATGGAAGAACATTGGTGTTATTTCAGTTCTCCATAAAAACATTAAGGATTATTGTTAAGATGGAGAAATAGTAGGCAGACCTGGAAAATAAGCATCTATAAAACTGCTAATGTGAGATTCTGGGACTACCAACATTAAGCAGCTTAGGGAGCATCTTGGGTTCAAATACAGGGCTCAGTCCTCTGGGTCTCTCCTATCTAACATTTCTGTGTCCTGAGTGATGCTCTCAGTCTGCTTATCACATTTACAAAGGATAGCATACCCACAATTCTCTACTGGGCCAAAAGGATGGGTTCACAGAGTGATCTTCAAGTAGGACAGTTATGAGGCCCTGACCCTGAAAGTAGGGAGAGAGGAACTTTTATTTTTTTTTTTAATGCCCAAATTAAATGGGCATTTTTAAAAAACATTTTATTTATTATGTATACAACATTCTGCTTAATGTTGTATCTGTATTAATAATCCTTAAAGTATATCTGCACACCAGAAGAGGGAACCAGATCTCATAACAGATGGTTGTGAGCCACCATGTGTTTGCTGGGAATTAAACTCAGGACCTTTGGAAGAACAGCCAGTGCTCTTAACTGACACCACTTCAGAGTCAGAACTTACCCACAAGTATCTCTTTACA